TATATATCATTCTCCTTAAAGTATCACATGTCCAGCAGGAGTCCCAGGGGTACTTTGGCTCCACAGAAAAGTAAAATAATAATAATAATTAATAAGTTAAAATCAAATTTCACAGTTTATTTTATTTTATGACAGCCAAAGAGTTATGTTTGTCTTCAGGCTTATACATCTAACAGCACTATAATGGTGGGCAGAAAAAAAGTGTTAGGTTAACAGAAAGTAAATATTTTCCACATTTATAATATTTTATTGCATATGTATTTCATTTTTTCATTGTAAGAAATGGGTCTTTATAAATAGCTGCATTTATATTTTAAAAAAGGAGTCATATTTAAAAGGGATCATCATATTTATTGGCCTGTAGCATCAAAACTTGGAAAACCCTGTCTTAGTTAATGTACTTTGAGGTCATCTATAAGCTATTGTGGGCCAATATGCAAATGAAATAGACTCAAGAGTGATTAGTCATATGACATCTGGTTATGACTCATGTGATAGGCTTAAAAACTGTGGTTCTCACAAGCAAAGATGACAGATTTCAAATGACATTCTTTCAGTAGGAAATACATTGATGCAAGATATACATACATATATACATACTGGTAAAAAATTTATAGCCTGAATGTACTGTAAGTCGCTTTGGATAAAAGTGTCTGCTAAATGCATACATTTATTTTATTTAAGATGGCAAACAAAGCACGTTCAGCAATTTCATGGGGTCTGTAACACCCGACGTATCACTCAATATGTTTTTCTTTACATCTGCAACATTCTTTAATTCACTTTTGTGCCCAATTGCATTCCCCTGTGTTTCACAAGTCAAAATCCACAGATTTCAATTTCAGCTTAAGAGAGTGTGCGTATAGTTACACTCCATTTTCTTATTCTCATCACACTCTTCTCACAGTGAGACACCAGGCTCGTAAATTAAATCAACTCTGAGAGGGCCGATGCTATTTTTACCACTATCATGAGACCGCCAGTCAATCTAGAGGATGAGGATGCTTCTAAATGAGATATAGGCACCCCATATTGTAGGAAAGAGAGTAGTATTGCTAATCTCTCACTCTTTCTTGTGTATGAGAGCCATTTTTCCTTCTCTCTGATTTCCATGTTGACTGTGAAAGACTTTGAGGGCTGACCGCACAGCACCGGTCACTGATAACGAGATAATCTGTCCCCCTGCACAGCGTGAGACGATGTGATGCATGAGAAAACTCAGTAGGGAGGTGGGGTACTATCATCAGATTCATACTGACTTTTACACTCGTCCAGACCTTCTCTGGCATTTACTGAGAGAGGGTTGCTGGCAGAGGTCAGATCTGTGCCTATAGTGGTAATGGTCAAAGTTAGCTGACAGCAGGCATTTTTATTCCAAGCATGTTAAACTTAACAGTGTGGTGGTCATGGACAGTGTGAACAAATGTATTCTTCAGCAGTGTTCTTACATATCACAAGAGGGGCCTCCTGGTGCTGCATATGCTTTAAAATAGTCATTTTAATTTAAAAGAATACACTGTAAAAAAAATTCAGATGTAAATAAAACTAAGAATACTGGAGTATGTTTTACAAGAAAATACTATTTCGAGATTTCATGTTTAATGTGTTACTTGTAATTGTAGTTTTGTCTGCTCATTGGTTCTTGTGGGACACCTAACCAATCACGTTGCAGTAAGAATATGCACATATTACATTTGCACAAATTATATTTGAGAACAGATAGGAAGGTTTTCACATAACATTTACATAGTTAATTGTGAACTGTAAAATAGATAAACGAATATAAAAAAATATATCTCTTAATTGAACATAAAATCTTAGCAATGCAGCAGTTTTCACAAATAACTAAACAGCAGGTCACTCACTTATATATATTTCATTTATATTGCCGATATGACAGCGCTTTGTTCCATGCCACACACATCTCACGTGCAGCCCTTTCCCTCAAAACACTGCAAAATAACAGCTTGCTGTTTGAGCAGAGAAAATGAACCCTTCTGCCCGCCATTCTCTGATAGCTTGTGTAAATATACAGAGGGACCGACGCATGAAGTGCAAAGAGGGAAATAGAAATGTCACATTACATTTGGTTAAACAGGCACATGGAGATTTGAATGACAGGAACAAGAGGTCAAATAGGAGTGTAGAGGACAATGGGTTAATTGCATGTATTTCACACAAATGGATTCCATGGGATCCAAAAGTAAAGCTCAAGTTTTCATTTAAAGGATGAAAATAGCTGGTAAATTATTTATTTCACGTTTTCTTCTTCCTATTTAATTGAATACCTTCATTCTAACACTTGTTGGAATTGTTGCAGTATCACTGCAAATTCTCTAGGTGGCACAGGATTGTCATTACAGGGACAGTTGAGGGGAAATTTCTGTTTTCAGGCTAAAACTAAGTTGCCTATTAATTCAAAAATAATCGTTTCTTCGCTCTATGAACCTTTCAACTCAGTTGGGAGCCTCTAAACAATAGCATAAAAGATTGTCACTGCTGCCCTAGTATTCACTGTGACCATAACACTCTCCCAGGAACCAATTAAAAAGACTTATCACACTTGTCTTCATACATTTTAGATTATGTCTCTGCTAATAAAGTTTCAAAAAGTCGTTCCACACATTACCAAGAGACAAAACTGAATGCCTGGAGGAGTTGCCTGCAGCTTAACTTCTACATGAGTCTTGTTCACTTCATCCTTTGCCAAGACTGGATGTCGAACTTCGTCTAAAGAGACATTGAATGGTCAACCGTGAAAATACTTGGCCGTGCCAAACTAGCAGATTTGACAGATAAATTCCATTTCCTGTGAAGACTTTTGAAGCCACTGTGTACTTCTGTTTGAATGACTTGACTGTATACATGCTTGATGGTAATTTGTAAATAGTCTAATGGAATAAAGGTAATTTAAAAGTCTAAAAGATACATCAACCATGCGTGACAAATGCTCACAGGAAAAAACAGCACCGACTCTTATTAAACAAAAGCACAAGTCTCTTATGTGCTTCCCTCAAGTGCAGTAAGTGTAACACTCACCATATGTCGGTGATAATTAATGCGTACAAAACTCAGTGTACAGCAACTTAAATTAAGCGTTACATTTTGCAAAACACAAGCTTTATATTTGCTGTAGAAAAGCTCCTGAGACCTGCATGCAGATCTCAAGCAGCTAATTCTGTGTGCACAAACCACCAAGGAAGAAATTCATCATTACTTTTCACCTTGTCCCCAAACTCCACAGACATATCTTGTATCTGTAATTTTTCAGTCAGCTGAAATCCTGACCACAGTGAGAAATTAATGATACAGTCTAGCATGACTTTGCCCATGCATTACATGCCTCGTCCCCCGGCACAAAGGCACCAGCTGAGCAGGGTCACAATAATCACGTGATTTAACACCTGTGCTGTGTGCAAACCTGATTTAAAATCCAATATAAAATGAATACAACCTCCCCATCTCATTCCACTCATGGCAGATTTAATTGTCTCTGTGTGTTCAAAACGATACAGAAATGTAGAAGTTTCTCATCTCATTTCACATTGATGTTTCTCGTTCAACAGTCTTGCAGGGTAGTGTGTGTTAGTGGGTGGGTGTGTTAACAATTAGTTCTGTATTTGCACTGCGCCTGTCTACGCAAGTGTGCCATATTATTCTGTTAAACCTGTGTTACGTGATAGCATGTGTTGTCTTCTATTGCCACAGCAGTCAGTATATGGCATAGAACTCAGAGCTGGATGAGGTGTAATCATTAAACAGACTCCAAGTCACCATAACAACACGGAAACTCCCTACTTCCATAATCAAGGTGTTAATAAAAATAACAATTGGTCCCTCGATATCTCTTTGCCACCTTGAAGTTCTCAGTTCCTTAAAGTGTATACGGGCGGGAAGCAAGAAAACACACATTCAATGTATTCTCAATACTTCAATTTATTCATTTAAATAAAGATATTATATAGGCATATGTCGAGGGGAGTTTCAACCCTTTAACCAATGAGAATATGAATGACATACATATAGGATCTTTGGCCAAGAACATGTGTTTATATAAAATGGCCACATGTACAGAAAAACATGGACATATTAGGAATAGACTTTGGCGAAGGATGCTGAACTCGCTTCATAGTTCATCACAAACTCCTTTACCTTGTAGTCCTAGCATTCATCTCCTTATTTGGGCATTTGAACCAAGAAAAGCTAATGCATACATGGGCGCATGCGTACCTCGCATATGAGTAAGAGATATTTAAAACATAATACAAGAGAGAGAGAGAAAGAGCAGATGGAGGAGGACTCAGAGAGAGTGCGCTGTATGGGGCGAGTGAGAGGGACAGGAAAAAAGGAAAGGAGGGGTGAAAACATCTAGAACCATTCTCAAGACAGAGAGTGTTTTCTAACACAAGGTAACAATGCACAACTGAGAATCAGCTTACGGGATCTTTTCAAATTTTGAATACAATCATACCAATTTCTGTAATTTTATGAAGCAGGATGGACGTTTCAGTGTGAAACAAACCATTTAATACCACAAAACATCAAAGAATTAATCAAAGCAGTGGCTAATATCTACTGTTTTTTTTTTTTAAACTAAAATGTCACTTCCTGGAGGATGATGTTATTTAGAATACAGATTTTTTTTGGTTATAAATTAGTCCACAAAATTAGAAATTACAACTCTCTTGATAGTTTTGTTTCCATGGAATTTTGAGTCAATCACCTATGCCTTATGAGCATGACTAATTACTTTACTACATTACATTAGCAGCAGGTAAATTATGTCAATGTTGCAGTTACAGTATCAACCAGCAGGGGCTACCTGGATAATGTTGGACTGGATATTACATGATTTCATGATTTTCTATACAGTATGAGGATTTAAACATTTTCTGCATAACAAAAATCACATGTTTTTTTATGCTTTTTAATGAGCTTCATACTGATTATGTTTGATAACAGCATTGTTGTTTTGGTATCAACTGGAGACTCTTTAACCTGTAGTGTTTTCTCAATTTGCGCAATTATCACTGCAAGCAAAAATAGCCACGTACCCAGTGGTTCATTGACTGCTAATACCCTAATCATCGTATGCTATTATTTTTCATTGCCTTTGGACATTTTTTTTATTACACATGAATGTGCAATAACATGACCCTTTAATTTACTGATATGTAGCTTAAAGGCTTGCTGCATTCATCAAGAACTATAAAAGAAGATTTATGCAAAGAACACTGAGAGGTTAAAAAAGCAGTTTCTTGCATGGTATGTCCGTATGCATCCATAAATCTGAGCTTTCACTGATTAAATAGCTCTCATTGAAGAGGAATGCCACAAAGTGCATGTAGCCTATATTATTTCAGCGATAATTATCACATTGATGGTGACAAATATCTTTAGAGCAATCTAAATGTCTAATTTTTAGTATATAAGGATGTAAATGTTTGTCAGGGAGTATGTGAACTGCTATAAGACCAGTCAAGAACCAGATCTCTTAACTGAGATAACCGGGTGTCCAGACATTGGAGGGAGCCTTGAGCAGAGCAGAGTTTTTCTGATTCATTATTTGCATACAATTATTGGAAGTTAGAAAGAAAAAAAAGCTCTAAACATCTATGTAAACCGTAAATGTCAGGCATAAATATCCTATAGCGTGAAAACGCTGCAGTTGTGTCCTCATTTTAAGTTTAGGTTCATGTGACTTAAATATTTTTTTATATTTCCTGCCCATTTCTCAGTGGTACATCAAAAACAAATAAATCAACGGTTGTGTTTGCAGTACAGTGACTGTTCTGTGGCATTCACTCTCACGCTCATCTCAGCTATGTGTGGATGCCTTGTTTTGGATGAAATCGGAAATATATTTTACTGCATGCGCTAAGTGGGCAGATCATAGCCGCTGCAAGCACTTCACACAAACAAATAAATCATTATGAACAATCAGTTGGTGAAGAAAACTAGTTAGCGCTGCATTTCAGTTATGCTTGGGTTTGCTTTTTTGAAGCTTCAGATGTTTTTTTGTTTTTTAAGTGGCTCAGAATATGTGAGGTGATTATATATTTTGTTATGTTGTACATAATGGTTAAAAATCTGGGATTGCAATTGAAAAACTCCAGGTTCAGGCCCTTCAGTCCATGTACTATAATCAATGTGCCCTTAAGTGAGGCACTCAACCCTATAATACATTTCAACAGTCGGATTCCGGAAGTGAAAATATGGAAATTGATTTTTAGTGATAATGTATAAGCCGTTCAAGACAGGCCAGCTCTGCGCTCTGAGGTTGTAAACCGATGGTCTCTGTAGAAGAACAAGTCAGTGTTAATTTAACTACACTACTCATAGCCCCAGAGAGAGATCCATCACTCATAGCATTGTAGATGATGTCTCAGACTAGCTCATTTTTATAGGATATTTCATACACAGTTGTAACTCACCACATTTTTTTCAGTTTGCTTTATATAAAATTATTATTTTTTTAAATAGTAATCGTAAATAGGTTCAAAGAAATACAAATATATTATATTTAATATTATAATATTCATATCTCTGAATATTTTGCAATAAACTTCAAACATATTCAGTATACAAATATATTTGAAAACATAAATCAATGACTAACTTTGGTTTCTATTGTGCAGTTCTATTGATTCTATCGATTTCTATTGTTTCATGTGATTTTGCTTTTGAAATGCTTTGTTGTTGAATCATTTTTTGATGAATAGAATGGG